TTCCACATATGCTATTCCATAAATCGATATTCCCTAGCCCCTATTTCTTAGTGTCCCACGCCGCCTATTCCAAAGATCGATATTCCCTAGTGAAGATCAAGGTTCAAAGATCTAAATAATCTCTAATTTGTAGTATTTAATGCATCACTTATCCTTTTTTTTGGGTGAAAATAAGGGAAATCAGTACTATAAACTCCTCGGGGTATTTCATTTATCACTTAAAATTGATATATATCATACAATATGTACATATGTATGGTATGCAACAATATTTTGAACCTTGAAGTTGAGAATGATTAACAACTTAGCATCTATACTCATCTTGAGTGTCGCAAATAACTCTAGACTGGTCTGAGATTTGCTTGAGACAATGGGTAGATCCTATTTGGCATTTGAAAATAAAGAAATTGAAGGATTTTTGAGGTAAATCTAAACCACTTCCACGAATTTATTGATGCACTTGCTCATTCGATTGTAAATTGATCTTGAAGAGTTTGAAGATATTCAAAGGGTTAACATAGAAGACAATTGGATGACATAACAAGACTCTTATCTGATTGATCCTTCTAGTTTCTTTTTTAGGATTAATCTCTTTTTTTTTTCAATTGTTTTATACCCTTATTGTAATCAACGTTTTCCCTCGATGGATCTTTATTTTGATCCTCCTGTAATATTTTTTATTGATAATCCTTTTTTAGTACAATTAAACATCTAATTTGGAATGATTTTACCCATTAAAAAATTGGAAAGTTGAACCCATGCTTATTTTCCTTCTTTAACTCTTATTTTCCTTGAGGAATGCAGCTTGGATTATCCTTCCTCTATTTGAGGGTTTGACTATGATACCAGAAAAACATCACATCCAAAAAACATGTGACCAATCAACCAGTATCATAAACATGTTAAATGGTGTTTTATCAAAATTCACGGGTGGACTTTGATTTGTCATAACTCTTTGGGTACCATGCTTTTCCGGCATCATAAATTTTTTCCTATATAAAACCTTTTTTTTTGTTCTTATCTTTATACATGAGCTACTCGGTATGAATACATAAACGTTTATCAATGCAATACCTACGATTGCTTTTGCTGCAAAAAGATGGAGAAATGTATGGCGATGAATGTAAGGTGCTGGAGAGGATGAAGAGTTGGAGAATGTATTTTGTCCTGGGTGTAACGTTCATAATTTTCTTTTCACATTCTTGGGGCTTCGTATGAAGGAAACTGCAAATTCTTACTGTCGTTTGAACTCATTACCAAGAGGTTGAAAAAAAAAAAGCATTACCAAGAGGTTATACACGGTTGGCAGGATAAAAATGGCAGTAACTTTTCTTTGAGAGGAAAAACTACTCTGATCGATAGAGTTATTTTGCATCTTTGCTTATCTTTATCAAGATTTTAGTTGTGATCACTAGGTACTTGAAAAGGGAAAGAAAGGCATTTTTTTTTCAACTCCGACTAGTACCGAATACGTATGTAGCTAAAATCTGATAACCAATCAATTGGTATTTATTGAAATACACTGATTTGTTTTTTTTTTCTTTTTCTGGGTAAGCGGGCTTTCCATTACAAGGTTGGGGCATTGGTTTTAGAAGTGTTAGAATGATGCCCTTCTGGCCTTCTGAGCCAGGTAACTAGCTCCAAATATGGGATGTCTTACTGTGATCAGTACTCAGGCTGTGTCTTTCACCGCTACAAACTTTTTGGTGGGGAGTTGTGATAGGGTTAATGTAGAGATGATTCGGTTGACAATTTGTTTAATATGCCTTGGCCTTATGGCCTTGGTAAGTTTTTTCTTAGGAAACACTTATTCGGGTAAGTGTATTTACCCAGTTTTTTTATTTCCTAAGTAAATAAGGTAATGATCATTTTAACCTTAAAAATTCATTATTAAAAGTGGCATTTTTGTCCCATTCAAGTGTTAGCAACTTTCCCCCTATGTGGGAAAATTATTTACCCACCTAGGAGATAGGTTCTCAGGAAAGTAAACTTTCCCTGATCCCCACATAAATCTGAAAAATGAACATGGAATTCTCGGTCAATGGGAACCAAAATCCATTGACCAACTTTCCCCTCTCAAAATCCAAAAAAAAAAAGAACACCCCCTAGAGTCATCTAATATGGTCTCCAATAGGGTTGAATAGTTGATGCTTAGTGGTGAAAACAAAAGAGAAATATTTTGTCTTGAGCCACCTAGAGACATCTAATATGGTCTGCAATAGGGTGGCTGCTTCATGGCGAAAACAAAACTCCAGTAGTCGTTTCTCAATAAAATCTTTTTTATTACTTCATCACCAGGGCCAGGTCTTCCAGGCTGATACCATTTGAAGAAATCCGATTTCCCTAGGATTTGAGGCTTTTGCTTGGTTAGTGGCACTGGATTAATCAAGCTTTGGAGATGAGCTTTGACATGGCAAATAAATTTTCCATACATAAGGTTGATGATAAGAATGACAAGATGCGATTCTTTTCTTGCTTTTGAGAGCATAGTATTTTGGGATCACCATTCACCCCCCAAATAACTTAAAAAAAGCTCAACCAAACTTGGATGGATCAATCATTATGGATTGAAAAAATTAGGGCTGATTTCTCAATATCACCTCAAAGGGCACAGAAATCCTGAACGTCCAAGTCTAAACCTCCCAAGATTAAATGATCCAGGTTAAGCATCTCGAGAATATATTGTCTGCATGAAAGTGAATCTTTGATATTTGGCCATTTCAAGGAAAAGTTGAGGTTTAGCCCCCCAATGAGGGAGAAAATTCATGACTTGACAGTGAGAAGGCCCTTTTCTGTCTGATTCCAGTATCCTTCATCCTCTCCTTGTAGGTTAAATTTTACTCATTAAAGTAGAACCAACAAGTCCACAGGTGAATAAGCTTGTTCATGAACAAATACATATTTTTCTCAGACAAAATGATATTGTCACACCATTTGTCTTCCCAAAAGCGTAACTGGTGATCCTTTTCCCCTCACAAAAAGAGATATGCTTATTACACTCGTGCAAATGTGTTTCAAGATTCCAAACTTTATGCTAGAATTATAACAACATGTAGTAGGATGAGACCCCACCTATGTTCCAAAACTCCTGCATTTGTCTGAAATTGTCTTCTCCATGGCCATGGTGCATTGGGTTTATCAACAAATCTCCATGGCCACAATACCCTAAAGTGTTTGGTTCCTTCTGTTCTGTTACATATGGATTGTGTGATGGAATCTACATCACATTTTGATCTGACTTGTTGGGGAATGGAGTAAATCCAAAATCAGGCTTGTTGGTTACTTTAATCAAGGCTTGATCTTACCATACCAAAATCAGCATGACCAGATTTCTTTCTTCCTGGTAAATCCAAATATCATTTTGGGAAAGAATTCAAGTTGATTAGTGGCCCAGTTAGTCTTGAAGACGGACATGATGGGGGATGGTGGGCCTTGCTCATCTTATGGGCAAAGTAGATAGCCCAGTTGTGTCCCTGGATCCAAGCTTGTGCCCTTGTCGTACTAGAAATAGTGAAATACCAACAAAGTGACCTATGCGCAGGCAGCTTTTTTTATTCTTTTTGGTTCTGTAATGCAACTTTGGGCCTGAGGGGCCGAAAAGGACGTATACTGAGGTGGCAAAAAGTTGATCTCGAGACACACGCTTTAAAGTATAAGGCCAATGTAAAATAGAATGAAATGACCCAACAAGATTTCCATCCTGATACTGGACCCAAACAGTAGGGTTAGTGCCGAGATGTTGATTATCACCACGACAATATCTTTTTGGATTTGATATGGCTTAAACTGGACGGGTTGCTACTTTCTGCGGTGGAATCCAACTCACTGTCAATTTCAAATAGTTGGGGTCCCTAAGACTGATGCTGGCTGTTCAGCTATGGGTGATGAGTGACGATTCAATTTCTAAGTTCTGATGTGAATTTTGCTTTTGTTCTCTCCTTTGTCCAAAATAAATATTTTAAACAGTAAACACCTATGATGCCATTAATGAACAACATCATCTATCTCTGACTTTTTTCAGGAAATAACAGAGATGGCATCTGTGGTGCAATTCAAAGGGACTCAAGTCGCTCAGTTATCATATGAAATTTGAGGTTTGGTATTTAGTATAACATGCATCTTAGAAAATGAGAAAAAGCTGTTGAAATTAGTTTTTTCAAATGCTTTTGACAGTTGGAGTGACACTATTGCACCACATAAGATGAATAGTGGAAAAAATGTTTTAGCATTGGGGGAACATCAAAAAGACGTACATTCAGTCCAAGAAAAATGTATACGTAGAACGCTGAATTAGTGTTGATTTTCAGATAAACGACAATGAAACCAAACATCAGAGATCATCCTTCTGAGCCATTCGTTGCCTGAGCTAGAAACACATTCAAACAACTCAATGAAAAATCGTGACTTTCATCATATACAACATGGACTGATAACAGCTTCAGTGGCTTAGCTGAAGTGACATAATGAAATGCAGCCTTAATGCCAGATGGGAGGGCTTTCACGCAGCAGCTTACAGGTTTGCAAGATAAACACCACATGGAAACTGGAGTTATGTTTGATGAAAAAACCGGGCATTCAGAATACACTTTGATTGAGCTAATAAATGAACTTTCCAGTAAAATTAATTTCAATAGCTTCTTCAACGCAGTTCAGTCAATACAGCTCAATAAAAGTTCACATCAGCACCCCACAACATCTCCCAATAACAAGTACGTGAGATATTCTCAATACATACGCTAAGATGTGTATATGTGAACTGTCAATCAAAGCTGAAGCCCTCCCGGGGCTATAATCACCCCAACTTGATCACTTGATGAATTTATGAGACAAAAGCAATGAATCGTTTGGTTAAGTAACAGGTCACAGTAGTTATCAAACAGCAGCTCGAGTGTTTTCAACTTGGGTTGGGACAACCCTCTTAATGCCAAGTTGGCAAAAAGGAGTTAACTGTAAAAATCTACCAACTTAATCACTGACAACCCCGTTAGAATCTAGAAAGATGCATTCCTGAAACATTTTTCTCTTGGATATCTTTATTTCTGCCATGTCATCAACATTCTGTAATTTCTAAATAAATAAGGAATATTAATTTGCTCCAGTAAATTACTAATGGAGAGAACAGTTTCAATATTTCCAAGTCCAAAACCAGTAACCGAGATCATCAAAATTTGACCTCGAGTACTAGGAATTCAACTAGAAACTTGATAAGAAGTTTGAAGGTTTTCTTTAATGGGGTGGGGCCTAAGCAGTGCAAAAATAGGAATTGTTAACTACCCACCAAAAATCAAACGAATGTCTCAATTAAAGGGGGGATTAGGTTTCTGCATTCCGTGTGAAATCAACACAAGTCTGGCAGCTGCAATCTGAGAATCGACAGATGTCACATCCAAAGCAGACACAAGAGGTGCATCCATTGCAAGTAGGAGAACGAGAGCAACCCCTGTAGATTTTACGACTTGCTCGTTCTTCATCGGTCTCACAGGTTATTCTGAAATGCCAAAAATAAAAAAGTTTAGGCTGACTCAGAATATGGACAGACAGACAGATAGACAGACACCCAAATATTAACAAGTACAGAATATAAACCGGCATTTTGTGTTCATGAAAACAAAGGAATGTGACAAGTCAATTGATGCATAGAGCCCAAAGACGCAAGTGAATGAAAATATTCATCAGGTGAAATCCTGTTTCACAAGGTACACATGAAAAGGGCTCACATAAGCATCCAGATTAACGGTAAACCTGATAAACACCCAAATGGCAACAAGGCTAAAACATAAACCAACTTTCATAGTGTTTATGAATCCAATATGAGAAGCTGATATCAATAGATGCAAAAAGAAGCAAATATATGCATGAAGTTCCTAGTTATGCCCCCAATGATTCCTGATCAGGCAATAATTTTTCAGAAGGCATTTTATTAATTTAGAAGGCATAAAAAATTCCAAAATTTGGATAAAACATAAATTCACCAACAAAATGAGAAGTTAATTAGTGTGAGAAATAAGATATTGAAAAGATCCCCTTACTTATGTAAATTAAGTTTGCTAGCCCTCAAAATACTGACACAAGGGTATAATTATCCAAAAAAAAATGAAACAGGGGTTCTGATCCAGAGGCATAAAGACGTCATTTCTTAAAATGTAGGAAACAAAAATCTAATCAGAATCCTAAATAGGAAATTGATGAAATCACTAGCTGAAAAATATAGCACAAAGGAATTATTATAGCTAAAAAGCATAATCATCACACAATTTTATGAAATCCATCAGTGTCATACAAATGGTGAAATGGAAGAAGCTTTTTCTTTCTTTCCTGTTACGTCTCACCAATTTATATATAAGAGATCTCTTGTTTTGAACTACTAGTTACAATTAGATTAACTAAAAGTCATACATACTATGGCAACATATCTCATAACATGAGCAGCAAGCTCTATAGCAATCCAGGATTCACCATGTCAGGCACTGGATATGGGTTTTGGACAGTGTCTTATGTCTCTGTCTTTTTACCAGAGATTATTTTCATGGTAAAACCTTGTAATGTTCAAAATGTAATGAGGATAGGTATCTTAATAACATTCAATCTAGTTCTAGGAATTTAAGTAGAAAAAATCAATATAGTCCTTCCCATAAAGATATATACTCCAGAAGCAACCTAAAAACCCAGAAGATTATTCCTGTTGATAACTGGAAACCTAGCAGTAACACCTAAGCTGAAAGTGTAGCTCCCATGATGTCCTGCCAATCCCTAGCTATCCAGAGATAAACAACAAGCACATTTTTCTTCAAAAATAGGAAAACCAGATATAGCATCCAGGATAATAAAGGACAAACTGTCAGCTCCAATGAGGAAAAGTATTAAACATCGAATATGGCCATTTATACTAAATCTCAGTATTTAATTTTTTCGTGGGTTGAAAAACTGAAACATATCATTCGATACACACAGAGACGTTATGCCATTTTGAACCTTAACTAAAAGACACAATTTCTTTTTTTCTCTGTTAGGCAAAAAATAAATAAATAGGGATATTGCTGGTCAGGCATGTGATATCAAAGTGCAAGCCTTTAAACATTGATATCAAAGTGTATTCATGCCTATATACTTCTTTAAACCCATGCTGCATCTAGCAAAATACTCATACCTAAAATTGTTCATGTCAACAATAAATATTTAGACACAACCCAACTTGCCACCATTATGGTCAGTAACAACCTTTATTTTTCTGTTTAGAGAAGGGACACTTTAATGTAACTACAGAATAATCATATGATTCTAGAAAGCTGAGCAGTGATATTTAAAAATATTTGCCAATCATTCAGCTTCAGATGCTTGCTTTTTTATCTGTATTTCACTGTTAAGAGTAAACAATAACAAACTTAAAGGACAGGACAACCAAACATCTTTCCTCTACCATTTGATCACCTTTTGAAACCCCTTCATATAGAATGGTGGTCCAAAGAAATAAAGCTAAATCTAAAATTTATATAGCTGGGAAATTTGAAGCAGGACCAAAGTCCAAAGTATCACTTCACTGCTGTAGGAAGTTCTTCCTGTCATTTCAATGCTATCTCAATCAAGGGGATCATATCTTTTTTCTCTAAATTTTCACTGATGAACATGTTGAAAAACAGGTTGTTCTTTCCTTTTTTACTTTTTTTTTAATTTCCCAGGCATAGTAATTCAAATTAAATTTCTGATTTTAAAATGAAAACATGTTTTACTTAACACCTACTTGCTTCATTTTTCATATTTTATTGGCATTTATCGATGAAAACATGCTAAACTACATATACTTTTCCCTCAGCTAATTCTTCCATTTTGGATCAAAATAAAAGAATGAACTACTACAAGATAACAAATAGGATAGCACAAATGAACTCTTAACATGAAATGGTATGTATATAAATAAAAAGTCATCTCCTCTATTAACCAAAGAATTTATCATCAAAACACTTAACAGAATAAGGATTTGTTGTATGATGTTCCTCCATTATATTAACATGGTATGCATATATCTTTGCGTTTCTAACCATAAACTCTTCTAAAGCCTTGGAGATCCCCATGTAAAATAGAAGTCTTCAGAGGGCAAATCAATCAAGTCAGAAGAGCAGCCTTCATTCAAGACAAACTTTCGAACCCTAAAAAAATATGAAAATAAATATCCAGGTGTGCAACCATTTTGTTTGCCAATTAATCCAGAAAGTAAGTTGTCCTTGTAGTAGTTGGTGTGCAGAAATTGCATATCACTAACAGTAACCTCCTCAAAAGTCTTGGGATTTGTGCACATTACAGACTCTGTTAGGCTAAACATATCACATTGATGATATTCAAAAAAAAAAAAAGATTTCCAATAAATCATAAGTTGGAAATGGGATAGCCCATGATAAAGAACATAATTTAGCAGTGACAAGTTCAATCACAGAGAAGCATAATAGCTAAAATTATCTTCTCACTATAACCTATCAAATTTCCAGTTAAAAACATAAGCTCAGGGCTTAACTCCACTGTTCAATCAAAGTTTGAGTTTTCAAACCAAGGGTGAGCACAACTAAGAAGTAACAAAAGGTCTCTGATGCAACGAGTTCAAGAAGCATATCTCCAAATTTACATCTACAGGAATAGGAGAATCAGCCTCTATTCCCCATCTGTCTAGTAATGGCCTCTGATGCCCATAACACAAATAGAGTCGAGAAAGAAGGAACTTATAAAGAGCCATTCACAACCATCTAAAGAAGAACTAAACATTAAATTCCCCCCAAGTAATTGATGCCTATATCCAATTTTATTCAGAAACATTAAATTAATTCTGTATTATGGAGAATTGCAGAATGCAAATAGCTTCATTAGAGAGTACACGATTCTAGGTTATTTTTCTGGGCTGTAAGCAATGTATCTAGATCATTAATCCCTATATTTTAGACATATTATGATACCAAATGTTGCTAGAAATTCCAAGTGCCATGGTGATAGACCAAGTCCATTCTACCAAATCTGGGTCATCCATAAGCCCATACACATGCATTTGTACTCGTATGGAGGAAGCCATGGAAAAACAGAGGATATTGACACACCTCACCATCCAATGAAAAATAACAAAAGCCACAAAAATGAGCCTTCACAGTTTCACAGAGATCTGTTTTTGTGAATCATCACTTGATCAGAAAGAAGACTTGCATCCTTATCTCAAACAAATTGAAATGTAAAAGAGAAATTAATGCACATTGAAAACTGATATTTTCAGGTTAAGGATCAGTAATGTAATACCATAAAATATACCCATGCCACTGTATCATTGCATGCAAAGAGGGAACAACTTTGGAAGGTATGTGTTGAAAACAGGATAAAAATATGGTGAAGAATTACACACCAAAACATCTCCATACACAAAGACTACAGTAATGAAAATAGTTTCCAAGGATATATTTGTCCAACCATGAAGTGCCATGAAGGTTGTAACTTCCAAATATAAAAGGTAGATCAGCAAAGTATGCATAAGGTGAACTTTTTTACAAACAGCTATTTTAGGAGAAAATTTAAATCAGAATTTCCAAATATTATTGCATTATGTTTATAATTATCAATATTTTAAGTGAGTGTTTGATGGATGTAAAACTGCAATAAAAGTTTAATGAGTCAACAAACAAATTTTCTTAAATTATCCAAAACTCTTCATTTTATAAGAACAACTTGTAGTTGTCGGTCCAGTACAACCCAGACAAGCATTGGGTTAAACTTACTTGTCATATGGCAGGTCAGAACACTTCCAGCTACAATTGGCCAAAGCATCATGATGAACCCGGCATTCCTCCTTGGTCCTGAGACGGAACCTGCGCTCCTTGTTACACCTTGTACAGCGAATAAATTCATCCCGATGACAAGGTCGTCCATTGTGGGACTTATGACTACCATTGGCATTTTTAGATGCTTTATTGTAATATTTGAGCAGCACAGTTTTTGACAGTGGAACCTTCTCCCCATCCACCATCACCCACACATTGCTCTTCCACTTCCTTGCAGTCTCTCGTCCAGAATGTTTCTCAAAAGCAGCTGGAGTTAGCTTATCTGGTAATCAAAGCAGCCAATTATCAATTAGAACTTCCAAGAGTACTCTGAAAAAGTACTCATCAAGGAATCTTAACTTTTTTAAAGAGAAGAGCAACGTATAATGGAGTACATATTTCTTCTTTTCTACTTCCTTTTTTATTTGCATATTGGAGTGGAGCAGTAGGAGTAAATGAGATGTACACCTCTATATCTACAGGCACAAACATACCCACCTGACAATGAACAGGACAGGAAGCAATCACGACAAATTATCACAAAAATAAACCAGCGATAAACCCACCTGCTTGGAAGAAGTCAATTTGACATTTCCAATGTACAGCTATACCTGAAGGATAAAATGCTCCAGTTGTATCAGCCTTCAACCAGTCCAGATCAAAATCTAAATGAAGATGAGGAAATGACATCAACTCCAACACCGGATGGCACTGCCATCAGAGCGAGGAGGAAGAGAACCTCTAAACCGAGAAACACCATCTCGCGTTATCATAAAAATTCCCCAAGACGAAACGGGCGTAAAGAATAACATCTTAAACCAAGCGATCAAAATTTGAGATATCAAACCAACAACCCACGATTCTAATTCTTCTTCTACACCGGGATCACGAGTCAAAAGTCAATCTTTTGATGTCGAGCCTAAGATATTATGATCGATAAGAATGTCATAGTTTAGATCCCACCACACCAAGTCAAAAAGGAAAAAAATTGGTTCTTTACTCAACTCCAGCCCATATAAACCATGTTTTGAACCTCACAATATCATACCAACCATAAAGCAACAAATTAATATATGAAAAAGAAAGATTGCATATGGTCGTTTACATAAGATCGAAAAAAGCAGGATCACTTGGACAAATCTACATACACTTACATGTATAAGAAGAGTAAAATCGTTCAAAGCTTGAAACAGATTAAAAAAACAAAAGTCATCATGACGTTGAACACAGTGTATGAGACAGATAAAGACATCTAACATGCATATAAATCGAGAGACCCATTACCCAGAAAGAAGACCAAAAATGAGATAGAAAGATAAAACAGAATGAGCTAACCTTCCTGACAACCAGGGGTGCATTCACAGCTGATTTCGAGATCACCTCCGACGAAAACCCTAAGCCTCCCCACAGCATCACCATACCTATGGCTCGTACATCCACACGTCACCTCGATATAATCTCCTCCTCTCCTCAATCCACTTATCTCACCCAACTCTTCGTCGCTAAACATGAAAGCACCGTCTTTCGCAATACCATTCTCCATGCCTCCCGCTCAAAACTACCAGACTCTAGAAACTCAGAAGAGCCGAAACAACCTCCCTAGATCTCTCACAGAAAAAACCCACAAAAGCCCACTAAAAACGACGAGTCAAACAACTCATTCTCATAAATTTGGGGAGAACATGAAAAAAAAAAACGAACCACCACGCTAAAAACGAACTGGGTATCTCCCAAACAAGTTGTATATAGACCACTTCCTCTTCAACCCTAAAAAAAAATCTCTAAAATCTCTGATAACCCAGGAGACCCGTTAAGGAGAATCTCAACAAACGCACATCCCCGATGCGCGGTGCGAGAGATCTGGCAGAGGAAACGTGAAGAAGATGAAGAGGGGAGAGAAGGAGGTGAGATGCAGCTTCTAGTTGCGACTTGCGGGCTGTGATTTGCCGTGAGCTAGCCAAAACGGGATTGACAAATGTCGTGGGTAAAGGCCGGGCTGGGAGCTTCCTAGTTGCTACTTGCATGACATGACATGAAGAAATCAGGTTTCGGTTTGGGAAGGAGACGAGGTTTTTCGGAAACCGTACTTTTTTACTATTACCATGTCTCGTTGTTTTGAATTTTGCCCATCTCTCTTCCCAGTTTCCCCCCTCCTCTCTCTCTAGTTTCTCCTCCCAAATCACAATCTCATTCAATTTATGCAATGTGTGATGTGTCTTTCTTCAAAAATCAAACTTGGTTTTTGGGCCACAACTTCCCAAAAAGCCTACTGCGTGTATAATAAATAAACTACAAAAAGTCCCTCTCCACTTCCACCAACTCACCCGCCCGCCTCCCTCTTTAGTCCTTCCCCTCCTAATTCCTACAATAAATATGCATTAACAAGTCTAAACAACCAATTTCATCAAAACAAAAAAAAAAAACAAAAAACGAAACCCTTTTTCTTCTTTGAAGTAATTCACCAGGCTCAGGCTCAGACTCAGACTCAAGTTTTTATCTTTTACAGCCCTGTTATTATCTGATAGCTCGACTCGATGCACAATTGACGGTCATTCTAATGGACGTCTGTGCAGTGCATGCACCGACCATCTCTATTCTTCATTTCTCCTTGACATAAAAGGGTCGAGCTTCGAGTTCAAGAATTCCGCCTTGCCTAGAGGGAGTCTACAACAGCTGGATCCAACCCAACTTGGTATCTTACCAAACGGCGCGGCCAAGCCATCAGTATCACCGACGACGACGAGAGATTGATAAGGCAGCAAGAACGCGCCTGCCGAGGAGCAACTCCTCGTGTTTCACTCCTTTGGGCTCGAAAATTGAGAAACGTTCCCTATCCCCTATTTTATTCTCTGAACTTTGAAACCAATCAGTGCCAAAATCCAAAAGATGGAGAGAAGAGAGAGGAGAGAGGAGAGAGGCTCAGGCTCAGGCTCTCACTGTCACCACTCACCACTCACCACCAAATCTGGTCTGAGTGAGAGTGCTCCCACGTCCCAACCGATCGCCACTCCATCGCCCATGCTCCTCTGTTTCTTCTACTCGAGTTGGCGATTTCAGTTCAGTTAATGATTGGAACGGGTTCGGGTACATCCAACCCAATGCGAGCCAGGTGTTGTCGTCCTGCATGATCACACACACATGTGTTCCATTGCTAATTTCACCTTTCAGAAACCAGCAGATCAACAGGAATAATAGTTTGCCCATCGGCCCATGCCCATGTGCATCCTCTCTCTCTCTCTCTTCCTTTTTTGTTTTTATTTGGCCATTGCATGAATTCCACGGTAGAAAGTGGAGGGGTCTTAAAAAAACCAAGTAAAAGGCTTCGCGGAAAGAATATCTACCTAATTTGTTGTTTTTAAAATCCATAGTCAAACACTTTGTGTTAAAACATGATGGGACTCATAACTTGCCACTTGGCAAATGCTCAGAAGGTCACACGGGTTGTTAGCCACCCTTCATTATTGGACCTGCCATGTAACTTTCCAAGGCCCAATCCCATGTTGACACATGATTGTTAGACCTTGGAGATAATTTCATATTTATATTTAGTCTTTGAGAAATAAATTAAAATAATACCACCAAAATCACATGGTTGAGTGTGTATGATTATGTTGATATTTTTATGCATCCTCTCTTTTAGATGGGATATATTTAGGGTGGCAATTATGTTTTTATATTGTATTGTTGTGTGTTGAGGATATATATATATATATATATAGATAATTGTTAAAGATAAATAATATTAATATATAAGAGTATGTAATTGTTTTATGTATGGTCTTTGTTAAGTGAAAGTTAAACAATAGAAATATATGAGTATATAATTGTTTTATATTTTTATTTTTTAACAAACAATTTGATTGAATTCGAATCGAGTTGGTCAATTTTTTATTATTTTCAATCGGTTTTGGTTCAACAATTTTCCAATCCGATTAAGTTAGGTCGGTTTTGGTTTGGCCATTTGTAAACCAAACAAAACTTAACCTACCCAACCATATAAATATATTAATATTTTATATTTTAAAAATGATTTTTTTTAATACAAAAATATTTTATATCATAAATTTAAGTATTTTTTAATTTATTTTTTAAAAATACCACTATGATTTATTAAACGTAATTTTAATTTTTAAGCTTAAATCTTTTGAACAATCAAACCAAATCGAAACGTAATTTCACTTATACCAATTAATAATTATAAAACATAATTTTAATTTTTAATAATACCACTTTTTTATTTTTAAGCTTAAACGTTAACCCAAGTTGACAAGTTTTCACTAATGGTCATTCAATTTTGGGAGACAAACTCAAAAGCTGACCAAGTCAATTTGGTAGGCAACACAGCCTACAAAAGCTGACCAAGTCAATTTGCAAAAATACACAACTATTGAAAATATTAATACTGAAAATATATTGAATTAGTTAACAAATAGTGTAATCTCAAATAATAGTTTAATATCTAATAAATATTAATCAATAAATTATAAAAAATGTATAATTACTAAAAACAAATTTATAACAAAAAACCAATAAATTAAATTTCAAAAGTTAAATAACAATTGTTTAATCTGCAATAATTATTGACAATTTTATGTTAAATAACATAACAAAAATAGATTCACAAATAATTATTGAAAATACATTTATCAAAAATACAATAAATATTAATTTTAGTATATATAGATATATAATGAATATACACTATTATCGTAAAATTATTACTAATAAATATTATTTTTTTGAAAGTTATTTTTTTATAATTATTAATTGATATAAGTGAAATTAGTTACTTACAATAATATTTAGTTATTTAAATAATATTGTTATTTCAATTTTTAAAATATTAATTATTTATTGAATTTAAAAATTCATAAAATTAAAATTAGTACTATTAGTACATAATTATTTTTCTACTTTTAAGAAATTTTTTCAATCTATTACATGATTTCGTTATTTTAACTAATTAAAATTTATCATGTTAAATATTTCGTAATTTAAATATTTAAATAATATGTAAATTATTGAAATATTTTCATTATTTGAATTTTATTTATTTTAAAGTTATTGCGTAATTTTAAATATCTTGTTATATAATTATTTAGATATTTTTTATGTTTTGTTATTTAAGATATTTAATTATTGAAATATTTAAGTAATGCTTTATTTTTTAATGTTACTTTTTATTATTATAATAACATTTAAATTGAATAATTCATAAAATTATAATTTATATTCTTACTACATAATTTCATGATAAATTTTATAAAAATATAGAATTATTAATAATATGTGAATATTATTAAATCTATTATAATTAATTTTGTTTTGAATAAATATTTTAAAGTTAGAGATAGTTTAGGAGAGAATTTCTCTACTAAATTATAGATAATTTAAGAAATAAATAGGAGTTAGAGATAATTTAGGAGATAAATAGGAATTAGTGACAATTTAGGAGAAAGTGGGGCCACTTGGCAAAACATTAGAAAATAAAATATCTCTTTCTTTATAGTTGTTAGAACTAGTTAAGCCTATGTTATTTCCTTATTTGTTTATTGGATAACTAGCGGGGACTTGTGATTTTTTAAGCGAAAGCTAAATAATAGAAAGGGTCATTTACTAAAATATCTCTTATAGTTTAATGGGTTTACTAAAATCTACCCTATAGTTAGCATTTTACTAAAACACCACTTATAATTTGCAATGGATTTAATCAATCTTCCATTAGATGACATTAGAAAATGATAGTGTTGACCCTAATGTTTATTTAAATAAATTTAATCAAAAGAAAATGAAAATAAAAATACCATTTTTGTCCTTTATAAGACATAGGCAAACCACTCTATTGGCTATATTTGGTTAATTTTATTTTTTGTACAAAAAAAATGTTAAGGGTATTTTTGGTATAAAAATCATGGGCTTAATGGCAAAGCAAACACTCCTTAATGAAAGGTTGATTAAGTAAATAAGTTATAAAATATATGGGATGTTTTAATAAAATGAAAACTATAAGGTAGGTTTAAGTAAATATGCAAAACTAGGGGTGCAACTTTTCCAAGTTAGAGCTGGGGTTTTGTCAAAATTTCAATAGACCCAATGCTAAGCCCGAGCCCGAAACAGTGTACATTGTTAACTCGGGCCAACCCGACTTGCACCCCTATGCAAAACTATAAGATGTATTCTAGTAAATGACCCTAATTGAATCACATGAGAGTATACAATTGTTTTATATTTTTAACCTTTTAAATAATTAATAATTATTAACATTTTATATACTACTTTTAATGATTTTTTTATAATACAAAAATAACAATAATTAATTTTAGTTAGGTTTATCCATCAAACTGATGAAACCAACCAACCCGATCAACTTGACCCGAGTTGGTCGGTTTTCTAGTATATTAGGTCAGCTTTGGTTCAAAAATTTCTCAATTCAACCAATTTGGATCAATTTCACTTTGGTCATTTGTAAACCAACCAAAATTGAACAACCTAACCATAGATATATATTAATATTTTATATTTTAAAATATAATTTTTAATATGAAAAAGTGGAAAATTTCTTGTATTTCTTAGTCTAAAATGTTTTATATCATAAATTTAATTTTTTTAATTTATTTTTAATAATTGTACTATAATTTTTAAAATTATATTTAATTTTTAAGTTTAAATCTTTTGAACTGACTAACCAAACCAAAAAAATGACCCAAACCGATACAACTTGAGTGGGTTGATTTTCACAAAAGGTTAGTCGGTTTCATCTGACCAACTCCCCAACCTGACCAGGTCAATTTGGTTGGCCAAATAGCCTACGACCGAACCAAACCACCAAATGAACACTCATAATTTCAGTTAAATTAATAGTCCCATCTTGGATAAATAAAAATAGTTTAATCTCTAATAATTATTGAAATTTTATAGCAAAAATACACAATTATTGAAAATATATTGATAATGAAAAAAATACAATCAGTACTAAAAATATATTAACTTAATCAATAAATAGTATAATCTCAAATAATAGTTTAACCACTAATAAATATTAATCAATAAGTTATAACAAAAAATACAATAAATTAAATTTAAAAATTTCACTAATAGTAGCTTAATCTCCAATAATTATTGAATGTTTTCTATTAAATAACAAAACAAAATAAATGTATACATAATCATTGAAAATACATTTATAACAAAAATAATAAATAATTATTGAAATACTATAAATATTACTTTTAGAATATATAATTATATAATAAATACAGATTAAGAGTTTAAAATTATTATCAATAAATATTATTTTTTTAAATGTTATTTTCTCGAATTATTACTTGATATATGTGAAATTAGTTATTTACAATATTATGTAAAACTATTAAATTATTATTAATTTCAATATTATGTTATAATTATTTTTCAACTTTACAATTTTTTTTTTAAATTTATTACATAATGTCGTTATTTTAACTATTTAAAATCTAGTTATCTTAAATATTTTGTTATTTAAAATACCCAGTTATTTAAATACTTAAATAATATGTAAAATATTTAAAATTTAAAATTTAAAATTTAAAATATTAGTTATTTATGGAATTTAATTATCCATAAGATCATAATTTATACTATTATTCCATAATTTCATTATTAATTTTTTAAAATATTAAATTATTATTAAATTCCATATTATGTTAAAATTATTTTTCTACTTTAAAGATTTTTTTTTAAATTTATTACATGATTTCGTTAATTTAACTATTTAAAATCTAGTTATGATAAATATGTACTTATTTAAATATTTAAATAATCTATGAAATCTTTAAATTTTTTGTTATTTGAATTTTATTTATTTAAAGCTATTACATATTATTAAATGTTTGAAAAACATTTAAATGATGATTCGGAAAAACATAATTTAAATTGTTAGTACATAATTTTGTGATATATTTTATAAAAATATAAAATTATTTATTACATAATCTCGTTATTTTAACTATTTAAAAACTAGTTATGAGAAATATTTAAATAATCTATAAAATATTTAATTTTTTTTGTTATTTGAATTTTATTTATTTAAAGCTATTACATATTATTAAATATTTGAAAAGCATTTAAAATGATAATCCGAAAAAACATAATTTAAATTGTTAGTACATTATTTCGTGATATATTTTTTAGAAATATAAAATTATTTTTTGTGTTTTTAATAAATATTTTAAAGTTATTATATAATTTTG